TTTCAAAAATTCGTAGTTTATTAGCAGCTGTTCTTGATTATTCTTTAAACATTCCTTTAATGAATATCATTTTAATTATATAAAATAAATGTTTACCTCCGAGGTGTAGCTTTAAACATTATAGTAATAGTAAGACTGTATATAATAACCGTACCGTATTTATTAACGAATTCACTTTTGAAGGGAGTAACGACAATTTTTGTAATAGCCAAGATTAGCAATTCACTACCGATAGAGGGCGCTCTAAGCCTGACTACTGTTTTGGTAAGTAAATTAAGACTGAGACAACTATGATTTAGGTTTGTGTGTCTGGTCTTTCATTTAGTTGATGAAATCACGCAAAAACATTAAAGATAACAGCAATTAATTCAAAGACACATTAGTTAGATTTTTTACGGCATGAATTGAATGAGCTCAGTGGGCCCGTCAGTTGTAACTCTCAGTTGTAAACACCTGGAAAAACTCTTCGAAATTCAACTAAAACATGAAATTGCTTCAAATTTAAAAGGGTTGAATTAGTTACCAATTTCCAATAAAACACAGATCTAGCCAATTTAGTTTTACTACGAGAGTTCTGAAATTGATTCCCGTACCAAAATACGCAAAATAAAGGCTATTAAAAAAGTCTATATTTTATGCATCTGTTAATTGGCGAAATTTATTCGAATGAAATAGTTAATCTCTTAAAATTTGAGAAATAATCAAGTAAGATATTGAAGTTGCCTTCCTTTAATACAAAAGATGTCTTTAAAGGGAGTAACAACGGTTGGGTGTAATAGCCAAAACTAACAATTTACAGAGGATAGAGGGCGCTTAATCACTTCTAACATCAGAACCGTTGTAGATAAAACTTTATCGTTTGAGAGAGAGCAGTCGGTCATTAGTATTATTATTTTTTGTCATTTTTTTTTTAATTGGCAAAATAAGTCAAATAATATTGATCCAAAAAAGACACACTTGCTGTTATACTTATTTAACTTAATAAATTATATAGTCATCTTCAAATTTGATATTTTTAATTATAATCTTATTAAAATAAAGTAAGTAATCTAGAGTTTTATTTTATTGTCTACAATTTCTGGACCTATAGGCCTATGTATTAAATAGTATTCTCTAAATTTAAAAGAGTGAAAAAGTGAAATTTTAACTACCACTTTTTCTAGTAAAAATTAGATTCTCCATTTTTTCATTTTCCAGTTGTCTCAAATTGGAGGGCAAACTATAATAGAGGCACATGAAGCTCTACGACCGACGAATGTAAACAAATTGGGAGTGGGGAGAGCTTACACTACAGACAAATTTTAATAAAAAATAACGTCGGCTAAAATACCTCGATCTCAAAGAAATTTTCAGCGGAATCAGCAGAAACCCAACCTCATTCAGGCCATAATAATTCACAGGCCGCCCTCTTCGTCCGTTACAACACCAAATATGGCCGCTCGCAGTGAACACTCACAGAACACATTGTTTGTGAGAAATTTACCATTCTTTACTACTGACGATAAGTTTGAAGGATTATTTGGTGATATTGGGCCACTAAAACGATGTTTTCTTGTTAGAGATAGAGGTGTGTAATTTTGATAACGTTTAATTTAAGTAATTAGAGAGGCCTAGGTCCTAGTTAGGCCTAGGCCTATTATTAGTACTACTACTACTAGTTACTAGTACTACTAGGCTATGTTTGTAAGCTTCAGTAAGCCTAGGCTAGTGACCTGGACTCCAGGTCACTAGCCTAGGCTTACTGAAGCTTTCTAGAGAGGCTCTGCTAGGTACTGTATGTGACAAAACAATTCAACTTCAAGCAATTCTTTTGCAGCTGGTATCATTTGAAAGAGTATTATTATAGAATTAAATTGATACCAAGATCATTGTCACCCGTCAAATATCAGCAAATTTACAGAATTTAAGAGATTATTAATTATGCCTAATTTTGGTCCATCAAATCCTATGTAAACAATGGAGAAGAATGTGACCTTGTTCTTGAAAAACATACAAAAAATGCTCCATAACTTTTTTGTTTCTATACATTTCTCAATAAAAAAAAAAAGCATTTGGAAGCACACAAAATGGACAAAAGAAGTATTATAAAACTAATAAAAATTTAATAATTTATTAATTGAACAATTAAATTAATTAATTAAATACAAATAATTAATTATAATATGCCATACACATGCCTCAATGAATAAGACATTTAAAAGCACACAATTAGAACAAAAGCTGTGGCATATGTATGTAGGGGTGTTCTCACCCGACCCTCACCCCCACCCCTGACCACACCCGACCCCACCCAATTGAACCCCCTTTCCTACCTACCCTCCATTGAAAATAATTTTTTTTCTCTTTAAGGTCATCCCACATTTATTTCATCAAAATATGATTATACTACATATTAAGTATTGATATACAGTAATTAAAATTTAATTGGTTTCAGAACAATATAGACTTGGATAAAACAAAACATAACAAAAAATCGATCGCGACTGTGTGTATATAAACATGTTGTCATGTGCGATCAGGCAAGACCAGACATGCATGACCGCTCACGCTGCACTGCACAAACAGATTTTGGGAATTTCCATTCACAACACACTTTTTATTTTCAGTCAAAAACTAGGTTTCGGTGTTCAGATTATCTAAATATTACACTTTGTCATCACTATTTTCAGGGTCACAGAAAAAAATAAATATGAGGGCTGTTGCAAGTCCCTGGCAAAAATGATAGTGGTGCCACGATATCGCGCTAGCAATGGCCGATAGTCACATACCTAGCCCTGCCACCTAAAGTCTACAGTAGGCTAGGTGGTCTTAACTAACTCTTAGTCTTACCAAAAGACC